GATCAATATCAACCCTGCGGCGACCCAACCATCGCCTACGATGTCCAACCGGAGTCGTCCGAAGACTGTGACCGGTGTCTGCAATCCATCGAGGAGGCAATATCCTGGACCAGCGAACAACACGTGCTAGTATCCAGACAGGTGAGCAATACTCTGAACCTTGACAGATCTACCAAAGACCTTATAAGCTCGGTAACACCATCCGATGGCAGGACCAACGCTCTGGTATGCCTGTCCATAAGACCAATTGCAATCGCCTTCCCAAAATTATCCAAGCCAGGATAGTGGATCTCAGAAATAACGACTTTGCTAGTAAGATCCGCTCTCTCCCAGATTGTACTAAGCATTTCTGGAAACATACCAAAATCCTTAAAAAACAAGCCTAGGTCCATTCCACCACTAATACCGCAGAATCGTTCCACCGATAACCCCTGTAGAGAAGGCTGCAGTAATAGGTCAACACTTTGGCAGCTCTCACAATGACGGACAGAATTCAACCTTTGCATAGCTAGATTGACGGTATGTTCACTGATGTGAAACGGACGGAGCTCAAATGCATCTGTTGGAGAATCGCTTATAGCAATCGTGACTTGATTTGGTGAGGCCGAAGATTCATTGAACGAACTCATGAAATGTTGAGCAAAAAAAGCGGCATTTCTCCCGTTCAGATTCAGCGGTTTGCTCACCGAGATGAACTGACAATGGCAAACCGACTTCGTTCTTTTTAGAGTTTACAAACGACCAGAAACGCTTTGGATTTCTGCGAAGAGATGATTGCGTACGGAAGACATATCGTCGATACAGGAATCTGTTGCATTTCCTATACTCGTTACTTGTGCGGTTGAACTCCTGCTTCGTAATGTACAAACAATTTTGGTAGTATCTTCGTGGCGATTTAGCCGATCTATACCGTTTCAGCCGACGTAAGTGACCGTTAGACAACGGTGGCTTTTGTGCGGGGCGGGCAATAGGTACAAATTCAACCATGATATCCCAAATCATTTGAATGAAATATTCAACGGCATCGTCAACACATCCAGCTAATTCTAATGGTCGCCAGTCGATACCGAAAACAGCAGCACTAATCGTAACTAAGTCGGCTCGACGGAAATCCAGTTTACGATTATTTTCGGAACAATCCTCAAAAACGATTGGCGCTGGGAGGTTCATCAGGACGTCTAAAGCAGGGTGCTATGCATCAAGAAAGATCAGAGGTTCTATCAACAATCAATACGAAACTAACGATTTTAAATTGGTTCACTACTTGACTAGCCTGTTGGTCCTAAGCAAATCGATTAACGTACCCAATTTTAGTCGAAATTCTAGTACTACACTATGTTTGTTTTGATTAGCTATTAAAGTTTGACAGATAAAATGAGGGGTTATTGGTTTTTCCTATGTTTCGAGGGGTGAATCGATTAGCTTGGGACCGAAGAGAGTACTAGAGCTGAGCCAAAAAGTTGAGCACGTTATTTCGGGACCTTCTAGTCTTAGAGTTACCTCTATGGTTCTATCATAGAGGTAACTCTTAAGACCAGAAGGTCCCGAAGAAACGTGCTCAACTTTTTCGCTCAGCTCTGGTACTCTCATCGGTCCCAAGCTAATCGATGCACCCCTCGAAACATAGGAAAATCCAGGAGCCCCTAATTTTATCTGTCAAACTTTCATTGCGAATCAAAACAAACATAGTGTAGTACTAGAATTTCGACTAGAATGGGGTACGTTAATCGATTTGCTTGGAGCCAATAGGCTAGTCAAGTAGTGAGCCAATTTTAAATCGTTAGTTTCCACCGGTTGGTTCTATGGCTTCCGAAACGGTGCATGCCAGAGTAGCAGCTTCGTAAGACAGAACAAGGTCTAGAAAGCGAGCGTTCCTATTCAATACACTATTGATCTGCGTGAGGCCATGTAAAGCGAAACCGTCGAACTAGCAGCCGATAGAACCGATTGAGGTTCAACCTGGAAAGACCCATTGTACGACTTACTCCACCGGAGCAAAGGCTGGTTATAATCTCCGAGCTGCAGAGCATAGTCACTGAATTCCAAATTGGATAATAGCACCGATAGAGTTCACATGGTCCTGAATACTAATGACATCGTTGCGGCGGTCAGGAGATAAATAGATCACGCCTTTACTAATAACTCCACTTGGCATAGTGATTCTAACCCACAGCTGTTCTAGAGGATCGAAAACAGGTGTCGGATCGATATCCAGCATTTTACAAGCGCTGATGGCCGCCACAATCCGGCTGAGTTTCTGGTAGGGAAAATTCGATTTGATGTTTGGGTTATGTCGATTGACGTATAAACGATGTAATTTGATCGTTTACAGGTCAAACGACACAAGCCAAACTTCAAATCATATGTTCCCTACCAGAAACTCAACCGTGTTGTGGAGGCCATGAGCGCTCGTAAAATGTTGGATAACTGTTCCAACGAGATGAAACAGCGATTAGGACACCTCCACCAAGGGTTTTTGCACTGTTGGAGGCATGCGATAAACCGAAAAGGTATTCCCGAACAGTTGAGCACTGTATAAACGGTCATCGAACCATGTCTCCGTCAATATAATGACATCATAATCGCACTTGTTAGCGGACAAAAAGAACGAATCTACCTTGGTCCGTAGTCCTTGAACATTCTTGTAGTATATGCGCAGGAGATGAGCTACGTTTACAGCGCTAACTGCAATAGATGCGTTGTCGATCGATGGAGCCGTGGTGGAAGGTTAAGAGTTGCATACAATACCACTGGCGCAGACATCAGGAAGAGGCAATCCAACATTAACGTGGTACTTGCCTGCTAGTGCAGGTTTGAAGACCCTCTCTCTACATCCAACAACGGGTCTGGGACGATTGTGAAGATGATTTCAAGTCGAAACTATTTTTTGAGCTTGATTCAACTGTTGGTTGTTGAAAATCATGCAATGCTTCCATTCCTGTAATGCCAGTTTTTTTTTCACGTCTGATAAGAGGTCAAGTCATCCCACTGGAGACACATACCACATCTGACGAATATAATAAAAGTTGTTGAATATTACATCAAAACTGCTGCACATTAGTCATTCCGTTCCTAATATTACGTAGTACGATGTACACAGAATTCGAGAACAAATCATGTTGATGACTGTAATATTCTATCAACTTTTACCAGTTATTGTTGTTCAATACTTCACCATGAATATCATTGATTGATACATATAACATTGATACATCTAAATTTAGAAAGGGCACTAATAAGTGATGCATTACCTCATTTAAAAACTTGTTTCCAGCAAAAGAAAAAGCACAATAAACAAGCAAAATAAATCTCTAAAAAAAAAAGTCTTAGCTTCTGCGAATTTTTCCTACGGATCCGTATATCTTCAGAATTCAATAAATTCTATAGATCTATGGAAAATTTCGTAGAACCGACATCACTGACTTCCATCTGTTTTGTTTTTATTCAACATAGCTGACGCGCTTACAGAACGAGGGAAAAGCAACTAGTGAAAAAATTGCATGAACGAGGGATGTTCCGGTTGCAAAACAATGCTTGGGAATGTGGATGAGAGATGGTGCTAGTGCGCATGCAAAATACGATTGACGATATTTTTTGAAGAATTTTCGTCTATGTGTTATATCTGTTTGTCTGTGTCCAAATTGTTACTTGGGATCAGTGTCTGTTTTTATCATTTACCATCACACGCAAGGAGTAGCGCTTCAACCCAGTGTCGATGAATTGCGTTTGTTTTGAACATCTTCGTAGTTACGAAACGAGCGAAATGAACAAATGAGTTTATTATACATCAACGAATACGCGTTTGTTGATATTCACCAGTGCTCGATTATCAAACCCAAAATTGTCAAAATCAGAAGTGATCCTCAAAAGCAAAATAATCAACGAAATTTTGGGCAAAATGATTATTTTGAATATTGTCGACCACACTGCCCTAATCATCGATATTATCATCAGTTCAGCTTGAGGCAATAATTTGCCGTCGACTTATGTCTAAAAACCACGTTCTTCAGCGCTATATTTGTTTAAAATGAAAATAATCATTTTGCATTTGATCCTCAATATCATCCCGACCAAGATGAAGACGAATATCAATATCTACAACAACAGAGGCGATAATGAGAATCCAGCCACGAATGAAGAAAAACAAATGTTATTTTTGATACTCAGAGGTTGCCTAGATCAAGGGAATTTGTTTATATCAAAATTCAAATTCATGCAGGTAGTTGGTCTATCTGTTAAGGTTTTCTTCATATTCAGCTAAATTGAGTGTAGAAGAAAGGATTTTTATCAGCACTGCTTGGGATGGGATAGTTACGCATATATCGCCAGTGAGTATAAACTAAGAAAGTTCTCTATTTGCAACTGTGGAGTGCCGGCGTGAATTTCCAGTTGGCACGTAATATGCTCATTTTTTTGATAATCAGTCAACCTTTGACCGGTTCTGCTTTTATCAAACCAAAACATGCTCGTTTTTGCGTGTTCCATAATCATCTTAGCTACAGTTGCCGTATAGCTCTCAACCGTTTACAAAAACATTATTATCGCCTTCGGCTTAGCTGAAGAATTAAACCAAAATTCCAAGCAGGGTTACTTCCACTCACTTGCTATAAAAAAATGATTTCCGGAATTATGAAATCATGATACAGTGTAATACTAATTAGTACTTGTAAGTTACAAGAAGAGGTCATGAATAAAATGTTTGACACATAAAATGTGTCAATATTGCTTTCAGTGCGTCACAATCAGAGATTTTACGACTCGTGAGCGCTCACTCTGAGTGAACGCTCATGAATCATAAGATCGCTGAATGTGACGTTCTCAAAGCGAAATTGACAGGTTTTATGAGTAAAACACATACTTTACTACTTCTTCTTGTTACTTACAAGTACAACATAGAATTATTGCATCTAATGATTGCATAATTCCGAATAATACTTTTTTATAGCAAGTGAGTGGAAGCAACCCTGATTCCAAGATTACAGCTTGAGTTTCAAACTCACAATTGTTCCAATATCTACGCGCGCCATTATCCCACGCAGCGATCAATCAGCTTTCGGTTCGGATAGATAAGACCGGCCACTAAGTAGGCACCGATGCAATAGATTTTGATGCCGCAAATCTCTGTTTACGTGGTTCGCAATGTCACACTCACACCTCCTGTTTTATCGCGCACACCGTATTTTTAGACTTTCAACACGCACAATGTTGTGCGAATTTGCCACTTTTCTTTCAATGAATTCCTTGCGTCGATTCTGACTTCACTTCTTCTGGTTCAAAATATACCACCGCGGAGCATTTGTATTCTATGAAGTTCAAGATCACTGCTTCGTTTTTTGCTGTCTCTCTGGTTCGCTTCTTAGTTTTTGCTCAAATGACCTACGCTCGCCTGCGTTAATTGATTTCAACAGGTTCCAATTGCCGAAGGGATGATAAGCAATCAACAATTTTTAGCACATCATCTCGCTATCACACAACCACTGGTACGATACACCCGATGCGGCGATAATGCACTTTAGTTCATTCGCAATCTCAACCGATTTGTAGGAACTGAACAACAATGCTTTGTTTCAAACAGTGACTGAGTAAAGTACCGCACTCTCGGCAACTAACTGCTAGTGAACCATGCAGTGCAACGTGTAACAACGCACTGACTGACGGCACGGCCGGTAATAATGGAGCAGACAGAATGGAGAGCGAAAAAACTCCGCGTTGGTAGGAGTAAAATTAATTCATTTGAATCGTGAATGCTCAGTGTGCACAACGCGTATGATTGTAAGCTGGGGTGGGTACGATAAAATTAGGTCGATGGAGCACCTCCTCTGATATTAGTTGATACTCTGTAGATAGTTAAGTTGGCTTTCTAGAAAAAGTTTTTTTTTTTCAAATAAGGTATATATATATTATTTAAATAAGAGATTAGACAATTTTCTACAATTTACTCTCTGACCGAATTTCTGTAAGTCTTATCATTATTATGTTTCAAATCGTAATCCAGATTTTTTCAAGGACAACTTGTTTGCAAAGTTGCTTAAGTAAATGAACTTTGTACTCATTGAAGTGTGCCACTAGTCGAGGAATTCATGCTGTGGCACAGTATCGACACGCATTTTATCATAACGTTACGTCAAAGTTAACCAAATTGATGTTGAGAACTTGTAACAAATCAGTAACTTTCAGAACAATACTCCTTCGACAATGTACCTCTCTAACCTCGAGTAAGCCGCGAGTATTCGGCCCAACTCCTACTAGACATAGAATTAAGTGAATTTTGTTACAAACAAAGAACAATGAACTATCAGCTCCGTAAAGCTAAAGCGGTTAAGCATAAGAACAATACTCAAACTCAAATCTTGCCGTCAATATTAATGAAGAGTTGTTAATCTATCAAGATTATTTGAAATTATAGGGGTTCCTTATGCCTTCGTCACGTGTCTGGTGAATTTATTTATTAAATTATTAAATTCAAATTAGATTGAAGTAATATTTTAAATGGTTCTTATGCAGGGTGTCTACTCATTTTGCTTGATAAAATTTCTTGAGTTGTCAGGGTTTTCCAAAACTTTTCGGATAAAGACTGTACTCGACAAAATGCAACAGACAAAAATGATCACCAAACATTCATTTTAAGTCGGATATTTTTGAAACGCTCAGGGAACAAATCAACACATATATTATTGCAAAGTTGGTTTATTTAACCTCCTCTCCTAAGCTAAATGCCCGCACCTTGGATTTAACGCTACCCATCAAATCCTGTGCAACACTTGTGCCATCTTTCTTACACACTTTCATCCACTCTTTTTTCAAATCCTTGTCGTTTCTGAAGACCTTCCCTGTTTTCCGGAGCTTGCCCTTCATAATCGCCCAGAATTTTTCTTTTGGCCGAAGTTCTAGCAAGTTTGGCGGATTTGCCTCCTTCGGCACAAAAACAACATCGTTGACTTCGTATCACTCCATCACCGGTTTCGCGTAATGACACGATGCCAGATCCGGCCAAAACAGAGTGTCACCTTCGTGGGACCGAAGGAAGGACAGCAGGCGCTTCTGGAGGTATTCTTCTTTATGTACGAGAGTAAGACCCCAGCATACTACAACCCTGGAATATCACCATCGCTGCTACAGCTGATCTTCAACAAAACACGAGTGAATAGGCTACGAGTCGAGATGTGTCTATTGTCCTGTACGTAACACGTAAGGGATAGCGATCATCATCAGCTAAGTATTTACGGTCGGCGGACATCGAGCAGCAGCTGAGATGACCAACGAAGAGCACAGAACTGTTCGAAGCGAAGTTGGACCGATCGGACGGAGAACGTGAGAGGGAGATTTGGTCTACGCGGTCACGGGTCAAGCGATGGTCAGATCAGGAGACGAGAGTTGGTTGGTTTCGGTCACCGGATAGGACGGTTGGACATCCCATCGGGGATGAATATTTAAATTTGTTATCCTTTAAGTATTTGTAGTAAATTGTTTGCTTGTAAAGAAGACTAGTGTGTTATAATAAATGTAGTTTTGTAAACTGTGTTTCACCAAGCCTCGAGTGTTTTGTTTGACAGGAAGAAGACTCGCTGGAATTATCCCTGCGGAATACTACCTATACGAGCTACAATTTGGATTCCCCGCAACCCAAAGGAAGCACCAATAACAACAGTGTTGGAGTCGGCACGGATGCTCCACTGCCACTACACATCGAAGGAGGTAAGCCGGCTATCCAACACTTTTTATATTTGGCCGTTGATGGTGCCGGCGTTATGTAGGGCTTGCAGAATTTGCCGCATCCCCAGATCGCCTACCACACTAAGTACTTCTTGGCAAATTTGCCGACCTTCTTCTTCCGGAACTTCTCCGGAACATCTAGGCGGGACTTGCCGACGAAAAACTCCAGGCTGGGGATCTGCTTGGCGTCCGCTTTAATGTACGTCCCATCGTCCATTACGATGCATTTCGACTGCACCAATCACTCGCGTTACAGCTTCCTGGCGCTGGATTTTGCCACCGTATTCTGTTTATCGTTTCGGTTAGGGTCTTTCTTACCTTGAAGACATGAAGTCCGGCCCGCTTCATGGTCTGCTGGACGAACCAGACGTCCCGATTCGAATGGTTCGGATTGCGCTTGAAGTAATCCCTCACCTTCCTTGCGTTCACGGGGTCGGCCGTCTTCGCTTTTCTTCCGCTGCCAGTTCACCGCTGGGTCGTCTGGGTCTCCTTGAACGATTTTATCACACGGGACACGGTTGAATTGTCGATTCCATACTTTTTCGCGATCCACCTGTGGGACTGGCCTGGATTTTCCACGACCGCTCTCATATTTATTTGTCGAAGCACTTCTTGCTTGGAAGCCATCTCGATAACCACTTGACAGATAGTGACGAGATTTTGCACATGTAAACAATTCATCTCGCAACACGTCTCGGTCGTCGGTCTCCGGTGTTTGTTTACGAAATTTTAAACTGTTTTTTTTGTATGTTTTTGTGCACTGTTAATTATTGACAAAGGATTTGTGTATGTCCTGATGGTTGATCCTTCCCATACCAGCGATAGTGAATAGTGACAGTGAACCGTGCCTGACTTTTCACGGTGTTTACTTTGTGACACCAGTCCAGTGACTCGCCTTTGTTGCATTCGCTCATTCACTTACGCTCGAGCTTTTTCGTTCAAAACGCCATCTTTCAACAATCTTCGGAAGCGTACACGTTGACCATACACGAACTTAGCCTACATTTTGGCGCTTCCCAACTACCGTCGTATTGCGGAGGATTGGAACAAAGCAGTTTTCGTCGTCGCCACTTAATGGATACATGCCAGGTTTGCCCGCGACCCTTGAACTCGGGTAGGGTAATAACGTGCAGTGGAACGTGTGGCACGACATTCCATCACACTTGCATAGGGCTAACTAAGGTTCAATATGCATCTTGGACCGCGAATGTTGGACTCTATTGGTTCTGCAACGCTTGCCGCTTAAATTTCGAGCCTGCCGTTTACGACCGTGAAAAAACGATTATGAAAGCCCTCCGCGAGCTTTTAATACGAACAGATTCAATGGACACTCGGCTAGGAAATTATGGTGAGAATCTTCGTAAAATCAACAAAACAATCTACGGCAAACAACAACAAACGAAGCAAACACACCAATCAACTTTCCTACACGACCTGGATCAACTTACTCTTGACGACACTTCGGAAGATCCTATCAATCGTTCAAGGTCTTGCGAAGAGACGTCATTCTTCGAGGTACTCGACGAAATCAGCTCCACAATTGCTCAACCAACGGAAAAGTTCGTGATCGGTTCCAACAAGCGGGTGCGGATACTGCCAAGCCAACCGTCCTCAAGTTCCGGACCTGCTGGCAATAATGCATCTCGTTTGAATGGTTCAACGCAATCCACTCCAACTCATGAACCGAAATCTTTGACCGTCGACAATCCGGCTCCCCTCATCAACATCGATCCCCATGACGAAGGCAATGGGTCTCGCATCGACTCTGCAGTAGATAGCACAAGGTCCCGCATACAACCTGGCAGCAATACCAGACCGAGCATCACATCCCTGCGAATCGCAAAGAAAGACCAGAACGTGAACGACATGGTTTCTTTCTACGTGACTCCCTTCGCACCAGAACAAAATGAGAATGACTTGAAGCAGCATGTCCAGGACATCTCTAATGTTGATTCGTCTCAACTCAAAATCATCAAGCTAGTTCCCCGAGGAAAGAGTATGGAAGACCTTTCATTTGTCTCTTTCAAAGTGACCGTTTGCAAAGCAGTATCGGGAGTAGTCGGCGATCCGTGGTATTGGCCTGATGGAATAACAGTCCGCATGTTTCAGCCGAACCAAAAAAATGGACCCTCTGCCCGTCTTCACAAATCATCATAGACCACTCTTTCATCCCAGGACGCATCGTAACAAGCTCTAAGGAAGACCCTCATCCGTCTGACACAGTCGTGCTGCATCCTGAGTCCAACGACCAGCGTCAAAGTCGTCCTGGCCCTGTGTTCAGCTCTGGAGGCGGGGTCTTCCAAACTGCCCTCTCAGGCAAGTACCATTCCGACATGAACAATTCGTACGTTGAAAATCTTCAATCCCGCAGCTTCAATACCTCCAGTTCAGCACAACGCAGCAATGCGAGCCTAGCGGACAACTGTCATCATCCAACACTCCCAAGAGCCGTGATAACGAGCTCCAATGTTACCAAACAACATCCGGGACGCCTACTTTTCAGTACATTGGAGGACCCCGAGCCCCCCATCACAGTCGAGCACATCCAGCCATCGTTCAGCAGTCGTCCCGGCCCTGTGTTTGGGTCAGGTGAAGGGGTCCTCCAGCCTGCACTGTCAGGCAAGTATCCACTTCTCTCAACTTGTTCCCTGCATAATGGTTCTCCGAGTTTCAGCGAACGTGCAGCATGTGACAATGACGCGATTGCTAGTATTGACGACGATGCCCATTCAACCGATCAGTTTACATCCATCTACTACCAAAACGTAAGAGGCCTGCGTACCAAAACGAACGAGCTGCGATTGCTTCTATCGAGCTGCGACTACGATGTTATCGTGCTAACAGAGACTTGGCTGCGACAAGACATAAAGGATGGAGAACTGTCGTCAAATTATGCAATTTTCAGATGCGATCGTAGTGAACTTACGAGCCAACTATCGAGGGGTGGTGGTGTACTAATCGCCGTCAAAACGAGTCATCAGTGCTGCGCAGTATCAGTGGCCGACTGTGAGCAGCTTGAGCAGACCGTTGTGCGGTTACAACTAAAAAACCGTTCGGTATACGTCTTTGGAATATACCTTCGACCAAATTCCAGTCCTGAAATGTACTCTGCTCACGCCGACGCAATCCGAAAGGTTTGCGATAAACTTCAAGACGATGACGTTGTTCTAGCGTTAGGCGACTATAATCTTCCCGGACTCTGCTGGCGCTTCGATGGCGATATCAATGGTCATTTACCATCAAACGCCTCAACAGAACAAGAACTTGCGCTTACCGAGCCGATATTTGCATGGGGTTTGGTTCAGATCAACTCTTTAGTGAACGTCAATGGCAGGACTCTCGATCTTGCATTCGCTAACGCTCCGGACTATATTGAGCTAATTGACCCTCCAGTTCCGCTCCTGAAAATTGACCCCCATCACAAGCCATTTCTCCTACGACTCGATACTCATTACACTACGAGGAATCACGCCAGCGCTCAAATGGGTGTAACCTATCTAGACTTCAGAAGATGTGACGTAAACCTAGTGAATAACGAACTTTCGGCTGTTGATTGGCTCTCACTGTTGAATCGACCCTCGATAGACGAAACTGTGTCCGTTTTCTATGATAAACTGCACAGGATCTTTGACAAGGTTGTTCCTCGCCGTCACTGCACTTCCAACGCGGTAAACAGAAAACCCTGGTGGACAGGGGAATTACGTCAACAACGCAACAGGCTTCGTAAGGCTCGTAATCGTTTTTTCAGTGTGAGATCAGACGAGAACAAGAACAACCTCCGTAACATCGAAAGCAGCTACAACGAACTCCTTGCATCGACCTATGAAGCATACGTCAACAATCTCCAGTCAAACTTGAAGCAGAACCCCGCATCGTTCTGGAAGTTCGTCAGGGACAGCAAAGCAAACAAACGCATTCCCTGCAATGTCGAATATGAAGGAGTGACAGCTGCAACACCTAGTGAATCTGCAACTCTATTCGCTGACTTTCTCAAAAGTGTGTTCAGTACTTCTCCACCGATTCCTCTTCCCGGAAGTTTCCAGCGAGTGCCATCGTACGACGTGAACCTGCCTACTGTATGTATCTCTCCAGAGGAGGTACTGAAATTATTGAACGACCTGGATGTTTCGAAGGGAGCAGGTGTAGACGGATTGCCTCCTTCCATTATCAAAGCTTGTGCATTAAAACTAGTGACGCCCGTAACCTTGATATTTAACCAATCGCTATCAAAAGGCGAATTTCCAACCATGTGGAAAACTGCTAAAATGGTGCCAATCCACAAAACTGGCAATCTAAATCGAGTAGAAAATTACAGAGGCATTTCGATACTTTGCTGCCTCGGTAAGGTTTTCGAGAAACTGGTGCACCAGTTTTTGTACAATGCATCTAGACCGTTAATATGCGAGTTCCAGCATGGTTTCGTGGAACGGCGATCAACAACGACCAATTTGATGTGCTACACAAACACTCTGTTCCACGAAGTCGAGGCTCGTAGCCAGGTTGACTCAGTCTACGTGGACTTCTCTAAAGCGTTTGACACCGTACCACACATCCATATCACTGAGAAACTTCTGCACATGGGCTTCCCGATTTGGATCATTGAGTGGCTCAAATCTTATCTAACAAATCGCAAAGCTTTTGTTCAAATCGAGACTGAAGAGTCATCAGTTTTCGACGTAACCTCTGGAGTACCTCAAGGAAGTGTGCTAGGACCACTTATTTTCATTCTGTACATCAATGACCTCGGTCTCCGCTTATCGTCTGGCAAATCTTTCTTCGCAGACGATTTTAAACTATTCAGGGTAATTGCATCGGTCTCGGACTGTGCTGCCATACAAAACGACATTGACGAATTGTTGAAATGGTGCGAAGAGAACGGGATGAACGTTAACATAAAAAAATGTAAAGCGATTTCATTCACACGTTGCCGCACTGTGTTGAAATACAGCTATAAGATCGGGCCCTCTGCCCTGGAACGTGTAGATTCTATTCGTGACTTAGGTGTTATATTGGACAGCAAACTGAGATTCAACGAACAAATCTCTACAACAGCTGCAAAGGCCTTTGCTGTCCTAGGATACATTCGACGCCATGCAGCCTTCATCACCGACGCTTATGCTTTGAAGGCGTTATTTTGCTCATTGGTACGAAGCATACTTGAATACGCCGCACCTGTTTGGACACCGTATCAATCTACACTAGCCAGCAAATTAGAACGAGTTCAGAAATACTTCGTTCGGTTTGCTCTCCGCCACCTACCATGGAACAATGAAACACACCTGCCTCCATATACCTCACGCTGCTTATTACTTGACTTGGAAACGCTGTCTGCCAGACGCCTGAAATTGCAGCGTATCTTCATCTTCGACATTCTTACGGATCGCATCGACTGCCCTGCGCTGCGTCAGCTTGTCAACTTCTACGCTCCATCTCGTTCACTTCGAACTCACGCTGCGCTTTACGTACCTCATCACAGAACAAGCTATGGACATAACAACCCTCTGAGTACCTGTATACGTGCTTTCAACACTGTTTATGATCAGTTTGACTTTAACATTAGCAAAAATGTGTTTAGTACTAGAATTAGAAATTTAGATTAAGTTGCAGTCTGAACGAGTATATCGAAGACGAAGGAATAAATAAATAAATAAACTAGTTTTACTCGAAATTTCATCAATTTTTACCCATGCAATAAAAAGTTATACACAAAAGAAAGTATTGCATTTTTTTCGAGCGCAATCTTTAATTTCCTTGTTTATAAGAAAGCTGTTTTCTAGTTGCGTTAAAAATATGTAATTTTTTGGTAAAAAATATCTAATTTTTCACAAACGATTTCAAGACATGGGATCAGTTTTAAGAGATAAATGTTTCAATCCAAACCAATAAAAATTTATGGTTGACATTTACGTAATTTTAAGATCTCATAAAATATTAAAGCATTAAAGTTTTGAGCTCCAAGAACAAGAACTAGAAACTATTCAAAGTTCCAAAGCCCCAGAATGAGAAGAATGCCATTTGGTCAATTTCAAGTTCGCAATATTTCAAATATTTTTGCTAGTATTGAAACTTGAAAACCTCTCACGTTCCCCAATCTTTTCCCTAATTCCCCCTCCATGTCCGGCTTATTTAAGCGTGTAAGTAAGCCCCAGTAGGCCTGCGTTCATTCCCAGTCGGCGCCGCTGGGATTTTCTGAGGCACAAAATCTCTGATCACGTCTTCCTTCGGAAGGGAAGTAAAGCCGTTGGTCCCCGGTTCATGAGTTGATGGGTCGATATGTAGGGTCCAGGTGTGGGAGCTGCCTTCCTGGCGGCGGAAGCATTGGTACTAAGTACGGAAAATAAATCGAAGAAAAAAAAAAAATCTAGCAATTCCCCGAAAAATACTCCAGAAAGCCTCACTTGGAGTTCTCCTCAGCATGGACTTAGTATTCTCCTGAAATTCCCCTGGAATTACGATAGGAATTCTTTTTTTAGTTATACTAATTCTACTCCCATTAATTCTTTAAAATGCTGCCCATAATTTCCTTGGAACACAGTTTTGAATTTTTTAAAAATCATCACCAGAATTCATTAGAAATTTTCCTTAAAACTGTTTTGAAATACTCAGAATAAGAATTATTTTCAGTATTACTGTTCTTAATTAAAATTAAAACCTCAAATGAAATGTATTGCATGGTAATTCGTTCTGTGCACCCTATTTTTTTATTGGGATTTGGATGTTAATTATTTTCAAAGTAAAATGCATAAATGTTTTAACAGAATGTTTCAGAAAAGCAAGGCCGTTTTTATTCAATAGAATTGCAGAATGTAAGGGTGTTTTATTATGTTCACTAAATGCTCGGAATTTATACTACCAAGAACATAAATAACATAAGATGGTACATTAAAGGGTGCATTCGATAAAAATGGTACACCGAAAATCTTCTGTAACTTTTGAATCGTATGAGTAAAAACCCTGAAAATTTGAGTAAATCGTATTCATATTGTATTGTTTACATCTGTCATGTTTCATAGTTATTGATACACGGAACCGAAAAATTACCCAAAATTAAGTTGTACGAGACGTCGACACCGTCCGGCTCCGCGAGTTAGTGGAGCCTCGTGTTACCGGCTTTCTCTGGCTAAGCGGACAATCAAACTGGACTGAACTCATGGACGTATTTATGGAAACTTATATGTATTTTTTAATGTGTGCACAACTTTATACATACTATCTTACAACTAATAAACCCGAGAGAGACTCTCCACAGTTTCGTTACTGTTAGCCGGCTTCGTATACATGACGAACAAAAACGATGACGATGGGTGCTCGATGATGGTGGGTGCCCAATGACGGTGGGTGCTCGATGACTGCGGGTTCGTCACTCATCGAAACGATCAGATTGCTGTGTACGGTCGAAGTAGGGTAGGTTGACTTCTTACTGCCGTCGATTCGAAGAACATTAAACATCCTCCCCCCGTTGGAAGGTGGATCTTCCAACTGTCTGTTCTGGATCGATTGGAAGGAAGGATAGTTTCGAAACAGGTCTTCGCAGGATTCCATTCTTGGTTTTGACGTTGACCACTCTCGTTACTCCATCAGAACCAGGGAACAATTCGATAATTCGACCAAGCAACAATTTTTGCACTGGCAAATTGTCCTTCTTGATTAGCGCAAGTTGTCCAATCTTGACTTTAATCCGTGTGTGCCATTTGTACCTTTGTTGTAGTGACGATAGGTACTCTGAACTCCAGCGATCCCAAAAGTGCTGGATGATTTGGGTGATGTGCTCGAAACGCGACCTTGGATGTTTGACTCGAACGCTGACTTCCGGACGGGCGATAGCTGTCAATGGTCTGAAGATCAAAAAGTGACCCGGAGTTAATGGCTCGAAGTCCTCTGGGTCGACGGATAGCGGTGTGATAGGCCGAGAGTTCAACACCGCTTCGATACGTGCCAATACAGTTGATAGCTCCTCGAAACAAAGGGTTGCGCCTGCTGTGTGTTTCACCAGCAAGGATTTGGTCTGTCGAATGTTCGCCTCCCAGATACCGCCTAAGTGCGGAGCCTCTGGGGGATTGAATCGCCACTCAATTTCGTTACCTGCTCGTCGAATGCCGTCTTGGTTGTCGATACTGTCGAAGAAGGATTTCCATTCGTCGAGTACGTTCGCTGTACCGACGAAGTTTGTACCGTTGTCGGTCCAAACGGTTGCTGGTTTGCCTCGCCGACTGACAAACCGATCAAAAGCTGCCATAAATGCTCCGGTGGACAGCTCACTGACGATTTCGAGATGGATGGCCTTTGTGTCGAGACAAATGAAAAGCACAATCCAGCCCTTATGAACGACGGTCGATCGTTTGTTGCGTTGTTTGATCGAGATTGGGCCGCAGAGATCGATGCCAACACGATAGAACGGGTACTCTCCCTCCAAACGACAGACTGGAAGATCGCCCATGTACTGTTGTATTGGGCGTGCGTTGTTCTTGGAGCATCGTATACACTCTCGAATGACCTTCTTGACGGCATTTTTCCCACGAATGATCCAGTACTCCCTTCGGATGGCGCACAAAGTGGTTAAAGCGTCTGCGTGCATATTGAGCTTATGCACCGAACGGATGATGGCAGTGGTGAAGGGGTGGCTTGGCGGTAGGATCATCTGGTTCTTCTGGTCGAACGAGCAGGTCTTCTTCGCCAGGCGTCCTCCGACCCTGAGGACACCGTTGAGGTCTACGAAGGGAGAGAGTGGTATGAGCGAGCTGTTCTTTATCGTTACCTGTTTCTGCAATTGGGCGAATACTTCCGGAAAGGATTCCAACTGGGCGAGATGAACGAGTGTCAGCATGGCTTGCCGATTCTCCTGGTCGGTGAACTCTCCATAGAGCTTTTCTTCTGGGCTGCGCTTGCGGTTTTGAAACAGCCGCTTGATCAGTGCGATGACTCGAACCATAGTGTTGTAACTGCTGCAGTCGTCGAATAGCTGGAACCTCTCAACCACCACAGGCAACGCAGTGATTGACATCAGCTCGGGAAGATGTTGTTCAGGGACTTGTCCTACGTCCTTTGGCCAGGTGTTTTCGGGATTCTTCAGGAACGGTGGACCTTTCCACCAGAGTTTGGCTGTTCTCAGTTCGTCTGGCATGATTCCGCGTGATATCAAATCTGTGGGATTTTCGTGACCACCCACATGAGACCAATCACCAGGTTCGGTGAACTTCAAAATTTTGACGACTCGATTGGAAACGAATACGTCTAGTTTGCTGGGGCAGGTGTTTATCCAGCTGAGTACAATTGTTGAATCACTCCAAAGTCTGACTTGGTTGATTTCAACTGGTAGGGATCGTGATACTTGATGGACTAATTGAGCGAGCAGAACGGCTCCACAAAGTTCTAAGCGCGGAATCGTGGATCGATTAGCCTTGAGAGGTGCGACGTGCGGTTTCGAACACAACAATTTTATTGAAATTTGACCTTCGACATTTCGTGACCTGAGATACAAACAAGCCCCATAGCCCTTATTGGAGGCATCGCTAAAGCCCAATAGCTCGACACAGTTCGTATTCTCGAGAGGAAGCACACAGCGACTGATCCTGGCAGTTTCGATCCTGTATACTTGACGTCGATACTCGTTCCATAGCTGTTCTTGTTCTGGATGCAACGCTTCATCCCAGTTTTGCTTCTGTTTCCATAGTTCCTGCATTAACAATTTCCCTGTCATCAGTACTGGTCCGGCGAGACCAAGCGGATCGAATAATTTGGAAATGTCGGACAGTTCCTTCCGCTTTGTGGGAACTCCTTCGCTGAACGCTGATAACGGGATCTCGAAACTACAGATGTCTTGAGCGGGTTCCCAAGTGTTTTTGTACGCCCTTCTTCACTGAACAGCACCTTCTGCTCCAGTTTTTCGGTAGGAAGATCCGCCAATACTTCTTCACGGTTCGAACACCACTTGTGCAAGTCGAATCCGGCCGTTGCCAGCATGCCTTCGAACTGTCTCCTCATCTCCAAAACTTGCCCCACTGTCTCGGCACCAAACAATGCATCGTCGACATACACAGACTTTTTCCTAAATTCTGCAGCTAATGGAAATTTTCCGGCTTCGTCGGCACATATTTGGAACAACGTACGAGTGGCTTGCTAGGGTGCGCAAGCTGTGCCGTACGTCACAGTAGCAAGTTGATAGATGCAAATTTCATCCTCGGGACTGGATCTCCACAGAATGTACAAGAATCGACGATCTTTCTTCCGAACAAGCATTTGCCGGAACATTTTCGAAACATCTGTTGTTGCGACGACCTTGTGGACTCGAAAACCAAGAAGAATGTCAACTAAATGGGGCTGAAGGGTTGGACCCACTAATAGAAGATCATTTAACGATAATCCATTGCTACTTTTCGCCGACGCATCGAAAACTACTCGAACCTTCGTCGTACTACTTTCCGGTCTTTGAACGGCATGATGTGGGATGAAATAGCACGTTTCCTTTGGAGGCTCGAGGGGATCGAATGTGCTGACCTTTTCCATATGTCCGAAGTCTATGTACTCTTGCATGAACTTTCGGTATTCTGAGTACAAGTGTTGATCCTTCATCAATCTCTTTTGGAGAAGGAGAAATCTTCGATGAGCCATGTGACTAGAATCCCCCAGTTCCGTGTCGATGTCCTTGAATGGCAGAGCGAGAACGTAACGACCAGATTCGTCACGATGATGTGTCGACATGAAGTGATCTTTAGCCTGTTGTTCGTCGGTAGAGTAGATTCGTTCTTGACCATAGCTCTCCAGCTGCCAGAATTTAACGAGTTGTTCGTTTAACTGCTCGTTGGTTACCGGAAGCGCTTGCACGATGGAGTAGCAACCCAGCCAAATACGGTTTGACGAAAAGTTGGTTGACCATCCGAAAGTTTGTAGGTGTGACTCAACATCATTTTGTCCCAATCCAAGATGCCAAACAGAATTTCCACCTGGGCCGTATGGTTGAAGAGAGGGTCGGCAAGATCAATCCACTCTGGAATTTTCCAATTGCTTATACTGAAGTATTGTAGCGGAAGTTTGGTTGTTATGTTGGGAGTAACGAGAAATTCAGAGATCGAATTGAAGAAAGCTGTTTTTGACCTCACATTTGCAACAATAGATTCTCCAATCTTCCTGCCTGCTCCTCCGAACCCAACAACCGAGACATTTGAAGAGAAGGTTTTGAGACGTAACTTCTGCGCACAGGCCGTAGTCATGAACGTAGACATCGCGCAGGAGTCCAATACTGCTCGACACTGTTGAAGCTCACCATTCCCACCACGAATGTACACGATAGCTGTATGCAACAACGCTTGATCGTTGGATGCGAGAAGTTGAACCCTTTTAGACATCGTTTTTGAGTTTGACTCTCCTCTCGGAATATGAAACGCCTCTGGTCCGGGCGCTTCCATCGAGACTGGAGAACTTGGCTGATTGGAGTCGATGATTCTGGTAACACACAATCCGACACGGCTTGGACCAGCCTCAGGTTCAGCTTGTTGTTCGTTGTTGCTACCACAAACCTTCGAATTGCAGTTGTTTATCGATGCGCTGTTGGAAGGGTTCGATGACTTGGGTTCAAAATGGAGAAGGGTATTGTGGCGTTGTCCACAGTTTTTGCATGAGCTACTTTTGCACTCAGCAACAATATGGCGGTTGCTAAAACAATTGACGCACAAATGAAGTTGTTTGATTCGCTGAAAGCGTTGCGATGCAGACTTGGCCAAAAAAGAACGACACTCGTTGATGTAATGGCTACCCATACAGTGGAAACAACCAAACCTCTTCTTCGAATCATCTTCACGTGAACTGACCAAAACCTTCGGTTGTTGGTTGATGCCGATAGGTTTAATGTTGGGTCGAGACGATGGTTTGTAATCCTGTTCCAAATTTTCCAAAACGCGACAACGATTTTGCAGAAAGTCGACCATTTCCTGCCATTTGACCAGATTTGTACCGACGATTTGGGATTCGAAGTCCTTATGAGTTTGCTTATCAATACGAGATGCGACGACGTAGACCACCATTGAGTCCGAAAGTGAATCGAGGTTGAGCTTCAACGACAACAAGGCCCGGAGATTTTTCTGCACGACGTTCACCAGTTCACGATGAGCAAAAGAGGATTCATTTAGGATGGGCTTCAGCTGGAAGATTTCAGCAAGATGGCGATCGACCAGCCACCGAAGATTCTCGTACCGTGACTCGAGAGCCTTCCACAATGATGAAAAGGATTCTTCCGGAGTTTCGATGGCCGCTGCTTCATCAGTAAGACACGATTGAAGATAGTGCAGACGTTGTTGATCGTTGAGGGATTCGTTTCGCCGGACCAGCAGGTTGAACTGACTCCGAAAATAGATCCACTGCTCGTAATGTCCACTGAAATGTGGCAACGTAATTTCCGGAAGTTTGATAGAAGAATCAGGTAAGGGCTTTTGAGAAACACTGGTGTCGAGAGAGGTCTTTATATCTTGGGGGATCGAAAGGGGTTTCAATTTTTTCGTGATCTGATAATTAATCTCACTTAACAGATCGTAATATTCTTCACCTGCCGTTTCGATAACCGAAAGTTCATCGTCCTTGACTAGGCCGTAAAGTTTGGTCTCGGTCTCGAAAAAAGATTCAGGCATTTCGTCAAGACCCTGTTTGCGGATTTCAAGTAGCAATAGATCTTCTCCATCCTTGAAAGAGGTCACGAAGGTCAAAATTTTCGTAGCACGTTGTTTCAGCGCTTGAAGCATTCTTTGGAACGACAAAATGGAGGCAGCCATCGTAATCAAGGAACAATTACGACGATGGTTGTGTTCGAGTTACAAAGGGCAAGTAAGGGTCACAATGGCGAAAAACGATTCTATTCGATAAATTACACGCGCTTTGCTCTAGCTCAACGATCCACCTACCATGTATTCCTCTATCGAAACTGGTGCCAGATGAACAATCAGCAATCCACTTCAACCAGACGATCCGGTTCGAAGGACCTTTTTATGTACGAGACGTCGACACCGTCTGGCTCCTCTAGTTAGTGGAGCCTCGTGTTACCGGCTTTCTCTGGCTAAGCGGACAATCAAACTGGACTGAACTCATGGACGTATTTATGGAAACTGATATGTATTTTTTAATGTGTGCACAACTTTATACATACTATCTTACAACTAATAAATCCGAGAGAGACTCTCCATAGTTTCGTTACTTAGCCGGCTTCGTATACATGACGAACAAAAACGATGACGATGGGTGCTCGATGACTGCGGGTTCGTCACTCATCGAAACGATCAGATTGCTGTGTACGATCGAAGTAGGGTAGGTTGACTTCTTACTGCCGTCGATTCGAAGAACATTATACAAAGTTCTTTTCACTCATCTCCCATGTTCCGTTCAATAAGCTAATTTTCAGTAAACCGCTTATAGTAGTTTACATTTGACTACGGCAAAAATAATTACTTACTCGTGAGTATTTTCTACGCAAAATAGAGTTCAATTGACTCAAATTTGAGAATATCTCATATACTCACTAGTAGCTTATTTACTAGTAGTCATGAGAAAGTCGAATCTCTCGTTCCGTTTTTGACAACAACAAAAAGTGAGAGTGGGATGCAAAACTCAAAATTACCCAAAATTAAGTAAAAAGAACTTAAATTTAGGGTAATTTTTTTCCCCCTGTGTACAGTATTTCCAGTCATGTCGTCGAAACAAGAAATTTTCCGTGAAAAATTTTTGTGCACTTACAATCACAATCCAGAGGCGTCCCACCGATGGATCGCTAAAAAGCTTGGAATTGTAAAAAAACAACTGTGTCTCTTGTGATAAGAACCTTCAAGGAGCGTCTGAGTTCCCGAAGGAAGGAAGGGAGTGGTCGTAAAAGTGGTTCAATGGACAGTAAAATGGCCACACCACACAGTTCAAGCACCGTCCAAACATGTCAATTCGAGATGTCGCTAAAAAGTTTAAGGTGTCAGTCGGTTTTGTGCAGAAAACCACGAAACGTGCTGGGTTACATGTTTATAAGGTGCAAAAGCCCCAAACTGGAATGAAGAGCAAACATCACTGCGAAAACCCGCGCCCGGAAACTTTACGGGAAACTTACGTCAAGGTCGACGTCAACCTCATGGGCAAGAATATTTTGTCTAAGTTCGATATTCCGGAGGATGTTCGAAAGAAGAAATTATCGAAATTTGCAAAGAAGTTCCTGGTCTGACAGGCGATTTGTGAATGTGATGAAATAAGCGCTCCCTTCATCTTTTCCGGTACAATCAACGGTGCGATTTACACGGAAGAGTGCCTCAAGAAGCGGCTCTTGCCATTCAGAAGGAAGCACAAAGGATCAACTCTGTTTTGGCGTGATCTAGCATCCGGCCACTATGCTCGAAACGTGTTGGAGGGTACCGAGCCAACGGAGTCAATTTTGAGCCAAAAGATAGGAACCCACCAAATTCACCGGAACTTCGCCCAATTGGAAAATTCTGGGCAATTTTAAAGAAGGAACTACGCAAACATCCCAAAACTATTAAAACAGAGCTGGAGTTGAAGAAAATTTGGGTAAAAACAACAAACACTGGGAATATCTATTGTTTAAAATTTGATGGGTGGAGTGAAAAAGGAAGGTGTGGGCATTCGGGATGGGAGACGAAATTGAATTTAAAAAAAAATAATGTAAATCATAACTGATTAGTAGTTTTTCATTCCCTGAAAATTTCAAGAAAATCTGCTAATTGATTTAATTTAGGTGAGTAAATATATGTGTGCCATTTTTATCGAATACACCCTTTATTATTATTTTTTCGAAGGGTACTAACGATCAGGGCTGGCTGGCTGTAGATCTTCTCGTCGTTGCTTTGCTCATCACTTTCAATGTAAGGAACGTCGATTTTTTAGTTAAACGAAACCTCATTTTGACGTTCAATACCTTTCACGAACACTATTTATCACCGCTCTTTCAATTTGTTTAATATGCGTTATGTCCCGTTTTCGTTATTTTTTAGATAAATATGTGGATG